TGACAACAAGCACAATGAAGGGCCTGTTCCGGGTCAGGACGAAGGTGAGTACGGCAAAAGTGTTAGCGTTGCATTAGCACTAACGTTGCACTAGCACTATTTTAACGTTGTCTATGTGTTCTATAACGTTGCATATCTCATTGAATCCAGTTGAGCCGGTGCCTGAGCCTGGAGAACGCGATGTCAGCGAAGCTGGTAGTCGTGCAGGCAGCGATGACAGTGTTGCTGAGCGCGCCGAGCACCCGGACAACAGCTACATCACCGGTGGTGCACCTAAGAGGATCTTTAATGCTGACGGCAAGGGTGACGGGGCTGTTGGAAGCAAGGGTGCGTTTAATGCGGTTTTTCAGTTGATTAGCGTTGTTGTAAGGCTAACGTTGCCCGTGATTAATATGCTTGTTTACGCCAATTGCTGTTAACGTCGCTCATCACTGATGTAACGTTGCTGGTTGTAAACGTCGCTGCTATCTCACGTTACGTCGTTGTTCAAACTGCCGATAGAAGACCAGATAGTCCAAGGAATAAGGCATAAAGGCAAAAGAAAACGAGGAGGCTCGAAGGAGGTTGCAGCTGGGAAGCAGCAAAAAGGTGACTATCTATTATTTGCTGGATATTTATGATGCCGACCTAATAGACGTTATTTGATCAGGTGAGCCAAAGCGCAAGCGCACGGCATCGCAAGCTGGAGTTGATCCGTCTGGAAAGAAGAAGCTTCGTCTGTACTCGCCCCACGTGGCTGACAGGAGTACATCTTCGTGTGAAGAGGAGGTGAAGGTCGCGTCGCACGAGGACGATGAGAAGGAGGCGTCGCACGAGGGCGATGAGAAGGGCGTGTCACAAGAGGACGAGGAGAAGGGCGCGTCGCACGAGGATAGTGACGGCGAAGGTTTGCCCATCTATCTGCAATTTCTAGAAGAGAATAAACCGCGTGAGCGAGCAAGTAAGACCACACCTGAGCGTGAGGCCATGATTGCAGCTCACGTGAACGTGAACAATCATATGGATCCTATCCAACGGAAAGGGTTTCAACATGGATCTCGTGGATGTTTGAGTTTGAAGAGTATTGCACTAGTCACAACCTCAAGTTTCGCGTCCGCACGTCCAAAGCTGTCGAGGAGTACAACCTGTACGTTTCGTGTTTGCTTACGAACTCGTTTATATTAACTTAGCGCCTTACTATACATATGTAGAAATAACAATGCGAACGTGAGTGCGCAAACATTTCACAAGTATTTCTCAGCGTATCGCTGCACGCAAGGAGTATATCAAGAACGGGGGGGGGGGGGAAGCGCAACGCAAGCGTCAACTTTACAGGCTGTCCTGCGCGGTTTGATTTGGAGTTGATGAACGTGGCCCCGCCTGGTAAGCCTCCTCGTCACCGCTTGATTGTGTACAACGAATGGCGTATGCACAACCACACTACGGAGATTTCTGGTGCTACTGCAGGTGTCAAGGAGCTTCCCACCCAAGGTGTTGTTGCGCAAACGGTCTCTGCATTGCACGACTGCAATGCATCGTCGGGCAAGATTGCTGGATCTATGAGTGAGGAGCTTGGTAAGTAGGCGTCATTAAGGGCGCTTATATGTAGTTTAATGCTAATGTTTTTTTTAATGTAAAGGCCGAACTATTACCTCTCAGGTAGCAAGAAAATTTATTAGGAAGTTGCAAGGCGGAAGCGCGGCGCAATCTCGTTTGAAGTTGCTGCTTGACTCTCTTGCAGCAGAAGAGGACTGCGAAGCCATGGTCATCCACGACCAAATGGGTGTCACGTGTGCCATAGTCGTCCAGAGCGCAACGCAGAAGCTGGCCTTCAAGAACCGGGGCGAGACGCTTGCAATGGATTGGACACACGGGACAAATAACGTTGGGTACCATCTCGGTAATTATTCATTTATTTCGGCAACGTTTTAATTTTTTTTATCTAAACCACGTATTTTCTTTTTTATAAAGGGAGACTTGTTGCAACTATGCCAACCGGGCGAGGTTTTCCCGTTCTCGACTTTATGTCGCTTAATGAGAAAGCTGTAACGCTGGAGAATTTTTTTGATTTTTTCAAAAGCAAGAACGCATTGTGGATGAAGATCAAGACGTTTGTGATAGACAAGCATTTTGTGGAGTGGCGAGTGTTGGAGGAGTGTTTTCCGACTGCTAAAGTGCTACTTTGCCAATTCCATTCTATCATGTATTGGAAGAAGCTGGTGTCGAATCGATTCGGCTTGGTGGTAGCGGAACAAGATACAGTCCAGCGCTATTTTGCCAAGATGTTGTATAGGTACGAGCAACGTTATTCAGTTTTAGCAACGTTATCGGATATTATCTCACTACATTTGCATCTTTTATATGTAACTAGCAAGTCATTGTCTGCGTTTGAACGTACATACAAACAGTTCTGCTCCTTCTGTGCTGGAAGGTACCCAAATGTTCGTTCCTATTTCGACAAAAACTGGAAGGAGTGCCGTAAAATGTGGTCGAACCATCTGCGAAACAAATACTTCTCTGCGGGGAACACAACCACAAATAGAATTGAGTCGAACTGGCACTTATTGAAGCAACTACTGGGAAAGAAGACTTCCGTAGACCAGACAGTTGCTAGTGTTCTGACTCATCAAGCTACTATCACGCGCCAGGTGTTGCAGACGCTGCACAGGCACAACTGCAGCTCCAGGAATCCTGGCTCCGTACCAGTTTTTCTAAGACGAACTGCCGGCGTACTGAGCGACTACGTCCTCGCTAAAGTTCGTCAACAGTGAGACCTTTTTATGGTTGCTATGCAGGACGGATCAATTGAAAGACGTCAAGACAATCAGTGGATGTGGGACGTTACTACCAATGGTAAAAGGTACGCATGCAATGATATCGAGTGGACGTGCACTTGTCCGTTCTGGACAAGTCTGATGTTGCCCTGTCAGCATTTGATGTATGTTTGCCGGTACGGGCATGGTTTTGAGGAGTTGCCCATTATGACGATTCTGTCTCGCTGGAGCATGGCCGAGGCCACGAAACTGTTCCGTCAGCTCGAGAAAAATGCGTCGTCAATTGATACAGTGACGAGCACCATCAGGTTAAGAAACTCTGCAAGATGGAGAGCTATGCCCGCAGCAACGTTATCTTCTACTAGCAACGTTAACCATACGAAGATTGCTTTCGGTTCTAAGGCTCGTGTCGCTTACGTATTTTCTTCGTCGCCGAGAAAGTGGAAATGTTGTCGTTCTGTCATCTGAGGAGAAGTACACCATGGCAAAGAGTGTGTTTGAACCGTAGTTGAATCATCTACAAAGCCTTTCGGGTACTGGCTTCTACAAAGCGCTTGAAAAGTGGGAGGATTTCGTGGCTGGTGCCGTGAAGAATACTGACAAAGTCAGCGACACTAGTGACACGGACGAAGACAACTATGATGTGGACATTACGGATTATTACGATGCCGTACAGCTAGTGGAAGAAATGGAGAAGATGCAGTATGAGGAGGAGAAGGAGGAGGAGGACATTTGCCCGCCAACGCAACCATCGACTGTGGTCACGTTAACACAGTCGGCGACGTTAACAGAGCAAGCAA